CGACAACGTTTTAAGGGATCCCTTCTTCGAGAAGTGTCGACACAAAGGTTTCAGTGCGATCACGTTTGAAAGGATGTTCTGATTTTGATGACACGTTGCACAAATACATATAGTATCGATTCCCAACTCAAGTTAGGTTTTGACCTGAAAAGAAATCAGGTATACTTGTATAAATATAGCCACCGGGCGGCTTTTGTGGATTTTGCCACAAGAAGTGTCCACAAACAGGATTCAACGAGTGAACTCGAAAGACTGCTTTGGTTTTCATGGATTTCGCTCAAATGTTTCAAGTGTCGGTATCAAAATTCGGTATGGCAGATAGTTGACATTTTGGATTAAGCCTTTATTGGTTTGCTCCTTCTCCGAGGAAAAAGATTTCGATAGTTCATTGGTTCTCCTGATGTCCAACGCCACATACGTGTACACGTGTCCAGTGAGGATTTCAAAGCATGCGACCTCGTCTCGTGCATAATTTGATGTCTTGGTGATATCGACCACAGCGTCTTAAGCTCACCAGGAATAGGTAGTTGTTACTCCTCCTTGGAGGAGAGCATTTTAACAGAAGTGCTCAGCAGTTCCGGGACATTTTTGCATATAATGCATGTTTGGTGACAGGTTTCTGGTTGTGAACAGCTCGCGCGTAGTTTGGAGGTTGTACAGACTGAGGGGAAATTTAGCCTTGTAACGACGCCAATGATACAGCTATTCCGGATCGATCAAACTCTGAACGGTAAAACCTTGCGCCGTTTCAAGTTCGGGATGCAACCTGATTGTGAACGTGATAAAAGCCGTTTCCCCTCAGGTACAGCAGTTGACCTCGCCCAATGTGTATACATTATGTAGTTTGAACCAAATGCACTATGTGTTTTAGGGTTGAGGCTAATTTTACTGTTTTCTTTGATCATTGACACAGTACATAGTTTATGGAGAATTGCAGTTTATATCAAGAGTCGTATTACAGCCTTCTGGTTTAATAAAAGATATGCAAAACAAAGTATCTTACTATTTAGTATAAAGCCCTATTTGCAGATCATATAAGTGGTTCTTATACCCATAAATGGTTAACTTTTGTTGAAAATATTTTCAATGGGACTGGATTAAGCTTCGTATGGTTGTCACAAAGCATCAACAGCCAGTACGATAAGAAACTACCTCAGGTTATTTTAGAAAGACTCGGAAGTCAGTATTTACAACCACGGTATGCTACAGTGTACCATTCTGGTAAAAGTGTAAGTTATAGAATGTTAAAAAATGTATAAAACTAGGACCCTGTATTTTTACCGAAAACACTAATACGCTATCGAACATGTAACCACCGCCTTCCTGTTGATGTTGGTAGGTAGGGCAATGTTCCTAGGGATTAAACGTATATGTTCACTTTGTGATCAAAAATTTATTTGTGATGAATACCAATATGTATTTGAATGTAGATTGCTTCCTTCTGAAAGATGTAAATATGTTCCCAGATAATATTTCCAGTTTCCAAATACTATTAAATACCGTATTTTGTACATCTGATATGAAATTGTTGAAAAACCTTTGCAAGTTACTAAAATGTGGTATCGTCTTCCTATTAAAGTCGTCTAGATGTGATGGTAAAGTAGTCTAATGATTTCGTCTTGTGCAAAGTGCTTTGTGGATTTTGCTTGGTGTTATAAGTTATTCTATTTCCATGGTATCTTTATCAAATTGGTTATTCTATGGTTTGGATAATGCACCTATAACCCATGCAGAATACCCTCCTGTGTCTGGTATACTTGTCGCCTAATAAGGTGAGCTCAGTGATAGGGTGATGAATAGCCGAGCGGATTCTATTAACAAGTTTGGAAAAAAGATGTTGCGATTATTCTGATGAACCTCCATGATGTCAACTGAGGTTTATCAGATTTGCATGATCATCTCGATTCTCTTCTTTTAATATAACTTGTTGCTTTCTTTGTTGATATCATGTTACTCTCGTTTATTACTTCTATTGCATCACAACAAACTCTTGGCACTTATTTAGTTGCTTTCGTAGCTTCGACGATTTGTTCCACGCATGGTTATATCTTCGTCTAACCTTGCTGACGTGTAAATAATGTGATGATTAAGTATTGATGTCCATAACTTGAATTTATATCAAATCTGTAGACGGGACTAACCAGCCTTCGTGCTAGAGGCTTTAAAGATCTTGTAAAGATGCAATACAATACAGTTTGTTCAGTATATGTTTACCTGGTTTGGATCTCTGAGTTGACTTACTAAGTATTAAAAAAAAAATGTTTCCTTATTTCGTGTATCTAGTAAGTATGTCAACACCGTTCACTAATAAGTGAGTGGAATAGGCCCTTTCGGCCACTTTTGATGAGCGATATAGTGTTGTAGATAGGGCACCCTATTTGTATAAAGGTGAGCGTTAGGTTACGTTGTCCTTGTGTAACAGGTCGGGCGAGTGCTGAAGGTCAGTGGACTAGAGGTTCAGTGGTGTATTTGTTAAGCGAGAGTGCCCTGATTTCGTGTAATGTAGAGATAGCAGATGATCTAAAGGCAACGTGTACTAGTGTTTTGAGATATTTGAATAATTTGAAATAATGACGTGAACGTAACGAAATTGGTTAAGCCTTTGAATGGTGTTTCCTGCATAATTATCAACTTTTCCTGTACATTTGGTCTCATCTTACCTGGAAAGCAAGGTCAACTTATTCCTTAGAGCTGCGTCCGTTGTGTCCATTGTCCGTCGTCCGACCATCATCAAATTTCGCATTAAACACTAGAAGTCCAGAGCTGCTGCAGCAGTTTTGAAGTTTGTGTCATTTCTGGGCCACAAATATTAAATGTTGTATAAATCGAGGGTGATTTTTTTGTGATGAAGGCGAGGCTCAAAAAAGGGAAGGGTCAACTCATTAGCTACCCGGTATGGGCCAAGGTCACTCAACAAAGAAGAAATGAAGGATTAGGGTGGAGCCCGATAGTTGTGAAATAAATATATGTACATTATAGTGTAATGAGGGCATTTATATGAAAATACATTTTAGTTTCATAGTCCACGTATTAATACTATACATCGAAGGAAAACATAGTGATTCTCTTTTCAAACGAGATGACTATAAAAAGGGAAAAGATGGTTCTTAAATATTGTTTGAACAATCCACTATAAACTTTAGAAAACAGTTTTGATCCTGTCATCATTACCTATCTTCTTTTGTTACTTTATTAAGTAGGAAATGTTGATCACTTTTACTTGTTCATTCTCGCTGGAAATCAAAAGATTGCCACTTTCTTAATGTCAATTATCAATTTTGTTGAAAATAATGTTTAACTTGCAATTAAGGGTTAGGAATTAATTATTTTAATAAGACGATGGACTCTTTATGATATTTTAAAAACGTTGAGCAAAATTGCAGATGATCAAAAAGTATTTTACACAAGAAGAAAGGGGAAACTTCACTGCAGTAATTTTGTCAAACTAGTCTTTCCAATTTAAATAATATACAGATTGACAATAACTGTGGTGTTCTACTACACAAACTAGTATTAAGATCAACCAATCAATATGGCCGTTACGGGAAGATGACGCTGTTTTAACAGTTATATTCTCACATGAATGTTACCTAAGGCATTATCTTGGATAGTTAATATTTTCTTTCCGTTTGGTAAGTAATTCCGGTTTATGAATAAGATATTCTTAACTGATCGACTACTCAGCCGCTTATCTATTATTGATTTTTGATCTTATAGATATGGTTTTATGAACGTTAATAATATATTTGTTAGTATAGTGGCAAAAGGCCATTTGACTGCTTTGGTCTTTTCATTAAAATGTGTTCGCAAACTATTACCCACATACGGCCATCATTTGAACGGTTTTGTGGTCAATATTTGTCTTTTGCTATCATATTGATACATTTTTTTCTAAATTCTAGGTTTTCTTGTTCTAAGCCATATGTTCAATGTATCACTTTATACTTTTTGCAAGAAAATTATATGCTCTTGAACCTAACGCTTGTTATCCAAATGTTGCTCTGCTTTCCAGCGAAGTGCATATATTGAACATTTAACCTTAATCTTATAATATAATAATATAATCGAAATACATTTGTAATGTATTAAAACTAGCAACTACAACATTCATTACCATAATGATAAAAAATATACAACATTTGATATAGCGCCCTATCTAGCTAGAATAAGCCACTCTAAAGCGCTTTACAGTAAATAGATATACAATACAATTAGCATATACATTGATCAATACAATTTATTGAGGAATTCGCATGAGCTGCCTTATTAGACGCCAACTACTAGTCATATGCCACCTAGCTAATATCTCCATATGTGTGTATGCCTGCATGTGTGCTGGAGATGTGTTGTGTTCTGTTTGTAGTAGGACTGTGCTTCCAACGGCATCATTTATAGTGCCACCTCACTTGAATGGTACAACACAGATACCGCAACATCCACCCCAGACCATTTTATACTCCACCTGGGTTGTTGGAGTCGTGTTGGCAAGAGAACAACACTTTCTCTGAATATTCCATGCGTACGACGACTTCGGGGATCGAACCCCGGCCGCCTGCGTCCAATCATACACCAAATAATGTACCTCTCTGTTACTGTAGCGCATATCGATGTCAACACACTTAAGGTCAGTACTTTGCTGCATATAAAGTACCACGTGTTTTACGGATTGATCTCACTTACGAGTACGAGTTAGAATTACATGTTCAGAAACAATTATGTGGAATGTAATATTTAAGACAAAGTTTATTCAGTATTGAGCTGTGCGCCATTATTATGATTTTAACTTTGAAATATTAAAAGTATTAAAAGGAACTTGTAATGTTAAATTATACATAAATGATTACCTACAGAAAACCATATCGAAGCATTATAGAATATATAGTAAGAATACATTTTCAGATGAATATACAGCCTTTGTGATATTAACTATCTACGTCACTGCTTATCTTACTCTAAATAAGAAGCATTGCTGCTTATAAACACGCGTGTCTTATCAATTGTGTGGGAGAATTCGCATTGATCCCATTAACACCAATATGATACGACTTCTTTCCTTTGCTGTTTGCTGTATCATAATAAAAGGTATGTACTCGCATACTCGTATACATGTTCAGTTTATCTAATTATAATCTCAACAGGAACTGTGTTTATTTGACGCTTTTTATTGTTCAAAGTGAGACTAACTACGCCCATAAACGTAGTTCTAACAACACCTGTAATTGAGAGTGCCCTGTTTATATGTACACACAAAATGTTCACAACCAACTCAATTTCATTGTCAGGTACAGTTCAACATTTAACGAACCTACTAAGAGGTCCAATCCACATCGATCTTACAATGCCCGATTGTGCTACTGAATGGTCAAATCCACATCGATCTTACAATGCCCGATTGTCCTACTAAATGGTCCAATTCACATCGATCTTACAATGCCCGATTGCCCTACTAAATGGTCAAATCCACATCGATCTTACAATGCCCGATTGGCCTACTAAATGGTCCAATCCATATCGATCTTACAATGCCCGATTGTCCTACTAAATGCTCCAATCCACATCGATCTTACAATGCCCGATTGTCCTTCTAAATGGTCCAATCCACATCGATCTTACAATGCCCGATTGCCCTACTAAATAGTCAGATTCACACCCTTGATTTCACCGCCACATCAACTTTATAAATAGTCGGATGATATATACACATTTTACACAGCCATATTGCCAAGTAATTATAATAATTATAATTCGTGACTGGTTAAATACATGTCCGACAAATAGTGAGCACAAACGTCCCACTGTCACCTTCTCATTGTCATCCTGATATTAAAACATAATGCGGACGTTTGACGTTGAAAAAGTAGCTGCTGAAAAAAGTATGTGCGTCATGTCTCAATGTTCAAATGGCGATTAGATATGTTCACCTTATTGGAAGATATCTTTATGATGTAATACAATTAACTTTATCGAGTTAATTTACATTTTATCATAAACCTAACCTGGATTAATTATTTATAAAAATAAAACACATCACAATAAAGTAGAAAGTATTTAATTGCATGTTATAGTGTAATTTTATGGAATGTATTATTGATAAACTGACGGGAGGGTAAAAATGAAAACAAAATACAAAAGCTATCTAAAAACAAGAAAGAAATCATTATAAAGTGCAATGTTTAGAAAACACTAAACTCAATCCATGTGTCCATGAAGAATGCTTCTTCTAATTACTGTGAAACCGTACACAACCATTTGTCCATGGAGAGTTTTTCTTGGAATTCTTATGAAACTGTATTGTGAAACATGTGCATGTTTAATGTGATGCAAAATGTAACTTGGGATTCCAAAATGTTGTAAACAAATCATGCCACAAGCGGTTTTCGTGCGTTGGTTATTTCTTAGGTATGAGTATTCTAGATAAATGGGATACATATATTAAGGTTACCATGCTATTTTTTTTATCAATATGACTTTTGGGTCCAAATCGTAATATTAACATTTGAATGACTTAATCACTAGATAACCTTGAAAGCTGATTCGTTGACGGGACTTTAAATGACATGTTACACGAGCACAGTTCGCAGCCAATCAGCACGCGACAGAACGATGTTCCAGATATTGAACAACATATTTAAAAAAAAAAGCGGCAAAACGTAAACATAAACATTAAACTGCGTTTGTTATGGCATTTATGATCTGTTTAAATAACACAGCTTTGCAAGCAAACAAGTCAAACTGTTCATGATGTGTTTGCTTGAAAAACTGTGTCATTCAAATAGATCATAAATGCCATACAAAACAGTTCAATGCTTAACTAAACATAACCCTCTTTATTCCCTCCCTTAATTTTAATAATATGTTACGTAACTTGAGTCGTTTCAGTGTCAGCAGATGAGTGTACCAGTTATAAAACCTTAATTGAGGACCATAGAAGTACGTTAGCAGTGCCGACAGGGACGGATAGACTTCTTTGTGATAGGGCACTGCCATTAGACTGGTACCGTTTCACTAATGGCGATATGCCAACGTCATGTGTTCCTACGTACCACTGTGGCACACAGATTCCTATTTGGCTAAATGGTCAACTCCCCACTGTCCAGGGAACGATCGTCAGCCTACAAGCATGTTTCAACTACGGTCAAGGAGTTAACCCCGCCGCTTATGGAGGGAGTACATGTTGTCACGCCTCGAAACAGATACAGGTGAAGAACTGCGGGAGTTTCAACGTATACCATTTGCCTAGAACACCGGGGTGTCCGATGGCTTACTGTGCCGGTTAGTTTTTGTATGCGAAAACATATATATAATGTAACTATGTAGAATAGTATCTTGTAATTCTTTGTTGTCTATTAAGGTGTTTACTTAGATTTAAATTGTTTACAAATGAGCTACAGATTGTTTAGAAAGTGATAAGGAGACCTTGTAATGATTTGGCAGTTAAGAGGTGACGAATTAAATGAGGGACATAAGTAAGTTTCAATTGATATAAACCTACCCCATTACAGGTAACAAACCAGTGTGCAAACGTGGACAGTCTAGCATCGGGTCGGCAAATTGTACAGGTAAGTAGATTTAACGTTTCTTCCGACAAATTGTTGTTTTTAAGCGTCAATGTCAAGGCTGTATGGTCACCAAGGCTGCCACGACTGACTATTCCTCATCTCACAGTGCTATAACTCTGACATTCAAACAAGTTCTTACTCGACTGTACAGATTTCTCAAGGAATGTAAGTCATATTAAGAACCCTCATTTTTATAATTTTTAAACTTGGATATGGCGGCTAGAGACATGAAGAGTTTTGATACATTGTACAAGGCAAATGTCGTCTATGAAATAGGGTACGTTATTTAGTATTTCTATCTTTAGGGTTGAACAACTCTATATTACATTCATGTCAATGGTCATCCAAGACGTTGAGGATTTTCATACATTGTTTTGCTGCTCTGTAGTCGACAAATAAACATTGCCAACTTAATTGTCCTCCAGTGCGTCACCATAAGAACTTTGTCTGGCGTCTTACAAAACAGAGTTAGACGGGCAGGCGGACATAGAGGGATAGAGAGAGATATCAACCTAGCAAATACAACTATAAGACCGTTAAGTTCAGACTGTGTTTTTCATTTCAGATTTGTATCCCAGAATGACACATGTCCCTATCCTAGGTAAGCCTATTATCGTCGATGCACAAGGCCATGTTGGGAGCACCTGCAGTACAACTGGCAATGTTAAATTTCCGTGTCACATCCCTTACCCCAAGGGGGAACCGGATGTATCTTTTGAGGTCACATGGATATCGAACGGACACGATCCGATCATGATTACAGGAACACAAACTCCAGTAGTTACCACCCTGAACGGCGATGACAGGGATGCTTTGCTTGATGGAAGATATATGAAAGGTCACATGGGCACAACGGTAGGCAAAACGCTAAGGATAAGGCCATTAATGTAACTGACTTTCTATTAATCTTGCTAGATCCATTTGAAAATAATGTATTTTTAAATTTAGTATCGGCAAATTTGTATATAACACCAAGAAATATTTATGCAGTGGAACATATAGGAATGAAACATTGGATATAATGTCACCAGTATTGCTGGACGGCAATACATCGCAAGCTGCAAATGTGAATATTAGATATAAACAATTATATTGTCAATACACGAGGACAAAATACGAACTTAAAGTCGGTACACACAATGTCACGTCGTAAATATATAACAACGACATAGAACTTTAAGTCGATACACACAAAACAAATGTGAAAAATATCATAACAGAGGTACGTCAATGATCGCTGTCCTACTGCACTGTGGGTTTTCTATATACAGCAACTTTCTCTTAACTTCCTTAATGATATCTGTCCTACTGTACTGTGGGTTTTCTATATACAGCAACCTTCCCTTAACCTCCTTAAGGACCCCTGTCCTACTGCACTGTGTGTTTTCTATATACAGCAACCTTCCCTTAACCTCCTTAATGATATCTGTCCTTCTGCACGGTGGGTTTTCTATATACAGCAACCAGCACTTAACCTCCGCTTGGCTACAACTATAGCATAGTTTTGCCAGAACACTTCGATTGACCAGTTATTTCAATCAGTTAGAGCGATAGTTTAACAATCGAAGTCCAGGGTTCGAATCCCAGTCTAGCACCTGCTACACACAGAACACTGTTGTTGATTATATTTTGTTTATTTCATCTTCATTATTTCTGATGAAAGTCCCGCAAACTATAGGTTTCTTTTCAGAAATTATTATCAAAGCTATAGTCATGCCGGTAAAAAAAACAGTGTCCAATACTTTGTGACAGTTTTTTGGCATTGATACGGGGATGCTTATATGCACATGTGTCTAAAATGTTAGGATCGGTGCACTGTACTATATAATGTTTACCGAGGACGAAACATCATCCTGAGGATCTCATCTGATTATTTTTATCAAATAACGAATATTGTTTAAATGAAGAAATACTTTCATTTCTATATTACAGTTACAATGCACAGTGAGATCATATCATACAAGTACACCTGGATTGAAAAGTTCATCTCTGAAAAGTAACGAATTCTGGGCAGGGATACAGGTAACGTATTTTTATAACTTTTTACATTGATAATAATAACTATTGATAATGATAATTGATCTTTGATTGTTCGCCTAGAAACACAAAACATTTTTAGAGAGATATAATATGAATGAGGCAGCAATGATCGAAATATTTTATTCAGATTCTATGTGTCAAACGCAGACATTTACGGAAAATTACTCATAGAAAAGAAGATGCTCACCCGATATAACCAGCAACTGAACAATATTTCTACTCAAATTATTCATTACTTATTACTACTGTAAAGCTCGGTCACATTGACGCCTCTTGGTTCAAAAGCAAATTCGCCCGATGTAGAATTTGTCCTCATCTATTAACCGGTTTTGTTAACTTTATGTATATAGTATCATACTAACAAGTAACTCTCTCAATCTAATACAACATTTTCTTTTCGTGTTGAATCAGTGAAATGAGCGAAACGGAGCGAAATGGAACCGTTATATATTCAATGTGTTACCAATAATATAAAAACATTAATAAGGTCACGAAAACGTATCCATAGGAAAGCTAAGCGTACTCAGAACCAAGTTCATTGGAATAAGTTTAAACAGTTAATACATTCTTGTGTTGATGCTATAAGAAAATCTAAGGCAGAATATTTTAGTAAACTAGCTGATAAACTTAAGCTTACAAAATATTCTTCACGGAAATGGTGGACAATAGCTAACAAGTTACTGGGTTTTCAAAGAAATTTTCTTCTATCCCTCCTTTATTATGTAATGACGTGGTAATTAACGATGATCAATGTAAAGCTGCGGCATTTAACAGCTACTTCTCCGAACAGTCCACCATAAATAATTCACAAGCAACACTTCCTTCAGAAAATGCATTTCCTCTCCCACATCTAGACACACTCAATATAACACCAGAAGATGTCAGCGATGCAATCAGTGTTCTTGGTGCATCAAAGGCAACCGGTCCTGACTTAATACACGGTAAACTTTAAAAGAAGGGAAAGATAAATTATGTGAGCCACTTTATTGTATTTTCAATAAGTCTATAAATGATAGTATTTATCCAGGCAGTTGGACAATTGCTAATGTGACACCCGTTTTTAAAAAAGGTGACAAAACTATTCTATCTAATTACAGACCCATTTCTCTCATAAGTATTGTCGGTATAAGCTAATGGAACGTTGTGTTTTTAAATATGTGTACAATTTTCTCAGAGAAAAACATTTTTTACAGAACACCAGTCTGGTTTTTGCTCTCGGTGACTGCTGTAAATCAAGTACTTTATATTACAAATGATATTGGGAAAGTTTTAGATTCTGGTAAAAAAATCGTGTAGTCTTCTATGATATAAGTAAAGCGTTCGACAGAGTTTGGCATGAAGGGTTGATAAACAAGCTGAAATTAGCGGGTTTATCGGATAAAATGATCAAATGGTTTGAAAGTTATCTGAAAAACAGAAAGCAAAGGGTAGTTTTGGGCGGGAAGTTTTCAGATCTCAAACATATTTCGGCAGGTGTTCCGCAGGGATCAATACTTGGGCCTTTACTATTTCTTGTTTACATAAACGATATTATAATTAATCTAAGATGTAAAAGTTAAACTTTTTGCAGATGATACATCTCTTTACATAATAGTGGGCGATCCCAAGGTGGCTAGAAATTTGTTAAATAATGATTTTAATACTTTTCAAGTATGGGCTGATAAATGGCTGGTAACTTTTAATCCAAACAAAACAGAAAGTTTACATATAAGTCGTAAAGTTTTGAAACCTGACCATGGTGATCTTTACTTAAATAATAGTGTTATTTCTGAAGTGTCTAGTCACAAACATCTTGATGTTGGATTTCGTCAAATCTTTCATGGCATGTTCATATAAATCACATAATAGAATCTGCTTCAAAACGTCTAAATGTATTAAGAAAATTGAATTTCAAACTTGATAGAAATTCTTTACAAATAATGTATTCATCATATATTAGACCAATTCTGGAATACGCTGACATAGTCTGGGACAATATATCAAATTATCTAAGTGAGAAATTAGAAAGTGTGCAACTAGAGGCAGCCAGAATCGTTACAGGAGGTACCAAATTAGCTAATATAGAACTTCTATATAGAGACACCAAATGGGAAAAACTAGCAGATCGTCGTAAAAAACACAAATTAATACAGTATCATAAAATGGTCATCAAAATATCGCCGAACTATCTATCTTCTCTAGTCCCTTCAAGAATTTCCGACAATACAAGAAGATCCGATTTACATCAGACTGTACAAACACGATCATACTTATATAATGAATCTTTTTTACCTTCTTCAATTCGCCTCTGGAATGAACTACCGCTAAATATTAGAGAAAATTCATCAGTTAAGGTACTAAAAACACATCTGGACAATAACAGTATCAGACATGCACCAAACTATTTTTATACTGGTGATCGCAAAGGTCAAATACTCCATGCTAGACTCCGACTCAAATGTAGCTCATTTAACCAACATTTATTCCACAAAAACCTTTCTGACTCACCTTGTTGTGTTTGTGGCTTTCTGATAGAGGATAACTTTCATTTTTTATTATTTTCGTAACAGACAGGAGTTCTTATCGTATATAATCTTAAAATACAATATTCATGACAATGTAGATGATCTTTTATGGGGTGATCCCACACTTAATGATAGGGAAAATGCAGAAATATTCATTTCCGTGCAGAACTTTATCGTCAACAGCAGCAGATTTTAATTGCTATTGCATATTTAAATTAGTTTTTCTTTACATCACTGAAGTAACTATTTCTATGTGATTCCCTAGGAATCTTTATCAATCAATTTTCTTGTTATTCCTTACTAAGTAACAGCTCGTTGTCAATGTCTTTTACTACCAATCAAATAATGTATAATTACTATTTTTCCATTATTTAAATGATGTTTTGTCCGTCTCATCAATGATGTGTGTCAATGTCCATGTACATTGCTGCAACTGTACTAGATGAGAGGAATTGATATAAGCTTATAGCTTGTTTTCCGATCCTCGTTGTATCTATACTGTATTGTAATGTAGTATGCAAGAGATGAAATAAAATATTGTTTAAACAAATGTGTTGCCGCAAGTTTAAGGAGCAGCTTTACACATAGTTTCGGTTATCCAATGAATTCTTGAATTGCAATCGAGTACATTTTGCATTGTCGGCATCGCCAATTGTCCAATTTAACCTGAGTTCAATCGAACACAAATATATGTTCTCAAACAATCTAAACAAAATAGAAGTTTTATGCTTAAAACACGTTTTTTCTCAATCCTTTACTGTATTGTTTCGGTCTATATCAAAATATAGAAATGTATAATAATATAATAATAACTTCAGACCGAAAATCAACATTCCTGAGACAAATACTATAGTCAATGCAATCCTGGGACATATACTATAATCCATGCATTCCTGAAACACATACTATAGTTCATGCATTCCTGAAACATATACTATAGTCCATGCATTCCTGAAACATATACTATAGTCCGTGCATTCCTGAAACATATATTATTATACCTCTACTTATTTTACACTATACAAAAGTAACCACATAAACAAGCTATTTCCCCTCTAACTGCATGCCAGGGAAATAGTTCGTCTGGAGGGTTGGGATAGTTTTGAAACTATTTCCCTCGAAACTTGCGGGAAATTGAGTGACGTCGTGGGCGGGGCCTGACCGAATATTGACCAATCAGCGCAATCGAATTACGTCGGCAATTTCCGGCCAGCTGAGCCGGTACTTTCTGGACCGACCTTTACCTCGCATTGTTGTTGACAGACGACAACAGAAATGGCGATCCCCAGGTTTTCTGTGTTGGACGAGAGCGAATTGTCGGACATATTGGAGGCAAAAGACAATTGGAACACAACAAAACAGTACAGGCATCCGTTACATTGCTCTCTAGCTACCTCACTAAAAAGGGTTTGGATATCGCGGACATGGAAACGGGCACAGTGGAGAGTTGTGAAGGCGGGCTTCAACACCACTGTGATCCAGGGTAGTTATGGTGGTTGTTCATAAAGTGTCCCAACTGTTGAAAATTTGTTGTCTAATAATATTTAGAATATTGTAAGGGAGTGTTTGTATCAGTATAATAAAACAGTTGAAGGTATATCCCTCATACCCATACTTTAACTGTTAACTATATATAGTCCATGCATTCCTGAAACACATACTATAGTCCATGCATTCCTGAAACACATACTATAGTCCATGCATTCCTTAAACACATACTATAGTCCATGCATTCCTGAAACACATACTTTAGTCCGTGCATTCCTGAAACATATACTTTAGTCCATGCATTACTGNAAACATATACTATAGTCCATGCATTCCTGAAACACATACTTTAGTCCGTGCATTCCTGAAACACATACTATAGTCCATGCATTACTGAAACAAATACTATAGCCCATGCATTCCTTAAACACATACTATAGTCCATGCATTCCTGAAACACATACTATAGTCCATGCATTCCTGAAACACATACTATAGTCCATGCATTCCTGAAACACAAACTTTAGTCCGTGCATTCCTGAAACACATACTATAATCCATGCATTCCTGAAACATATACTATACCCCATGCATTCCTGAAACACATACTATAGCCCATGCATTCCTGAAATACATACTATAGTCCATGCATTCCTGAAACACATACTATAGTCCATGCATTCCTGAAACACATACTATAGTCCATGCATTCCTGAAATACATACTATAGCCCATGCATTCCT